TAAAGGAGGAGGAGAGGGGAGAAGGGAAGGAGGAGGAGAGGGGAGAAGGGGTTGTTGTTAGGAGTTGCTAGTTTCTCGAAAATCTTTTCTCTCTCCTTCAATCTCTCTCTTGAATTTTTCCTTCTTTTTTTCATTCTCTCTCTCGTTTCTCCCAACTTTGCGCACAAGAATATATCTTTATTTGGTCACTCCCCCCAAAAACATTTATTATATTCTCTTCTCGCAAAACAGTAGAAATCAGTTGAATATTTGTATTTGATTGGAGTAAAAGTTGTTAGTTGTTAGTTGTTGATATTCCTTCCCTTTTTTGATTATTTTCTGGTTAGTTACTGTAAAAGGGAGGGGGAAAGAATAAAATTAATTTATCACTAATTTTGTTTAATTAAAAAAATTTTTTTGTTGTCTATTTTTCCAACATATCCTCTAGTTTTTAATTAATCATATCTTAAAAACATTCCTTTCTTCTCTAAGAATTCCTTCTAAACTTGTTTTTCTACTTTTATAAATTTAATCAAAAAAACAATCATTCTTACACTGCTTTTCCCTCACAATTAACACACATTTTCGATTTATTTTATTTACGTCAGTCCAATGATCTATTTAATCAACATCCTTAACAGAAAGCGAATTTATTTTCCTTTTTTTATCAAAAGATGGAAAATAAAAATTTTTAAAAATTTTTAGAAAATTAGATCAGACTTGCGATCATCAGACTTTGATCCATTCAGTGGGAAATAGATAGGCTTATAGAGGGCTTTTGAAAGCTATAAAAAGCCGGCGTTCGAAAGCCTTCGAAAGCCGGATTAGATTATGCGTAAGAAAGTTATAGCCGATCAAATTCATCCTCTTAATTAAAAATACACAAAATAATTTTTAAAAATATTTTTTCTTTTTTTCACAATAAAAACGAAATGTCTACGGACACAACACAAACACTTGTTTATTATTTGTTATTAGCTTTTCTTTTTAGCCTGCTAAGTAGGGTTGTTCGAGACCGGTTTATTCCTCGTTTTTTTCTTCCCTGTGGCGGACTTTTCCCTCCTCTCTTCTCTTTTTGACCTGCCACAGGGGTCAAAAAGTCTCGTTTTAACCGGTCTCGAACAACCCTACTGCTAAGCTTTTCTATTTTTTTAAATCAATAATTAGGCAACTTATATTAACTTTAAAATTTAATTTTTAAATTTATTTTACTCAGTTGAAAATTTTAAATTTTCCTTTCCTTTCTCTTTGTTTCGCTTTTAAATTTAAATTAGTCTCTCCCTCTCTCTTTTTTAATCTCTTTTTTTTTAAATTAATTAATTTATACTCCTCAAACTTTTTTTTTGATGGATTATGTACCTATTTTTTATTATTTTTAAAGTCTGTTCCTTCCAAATTCAAAAAAAGTTTGGGGGTATTTTTAATTTTTGCTCTTTCTTTTGTAAATTTAAATTTTTGAAAATGAAAAATTTAAAGAGAAGAAGGAAAGAGATAAATAGACAACAACAATAAGGATGATTTTTTAAAAGTTGTGTCCTTTCCTTCCTCATCTTCCTCATTTTTTTCTCTATCAGGAAAAGAAATTACTAATAGGTTTTAGTGTTTTTGTAGCATAAGGGGCTGGTTGGTCAACTTAGAAAAAGAGTTAGAGGGAGATTGTTAGTTGTTAGTGTTGTTGATGGTGATTGTTCGAGGGGGAGGGTAGGGGGGAGGTAGATGGACAGTCACTCACTCCTAGTTCTTTCTTCCCTCATCTCCCATCCCTTCCCCTCACAAACAACCCAGCAAAATATAAAAATGTTTTTGTGCCGCGCAAGTATTTTCTGTTGTTAGTTAGTGATTTCCCTCCTTTCAAAACTCAGCATAGACTAAACAGCAATTTCCCTCTCTCCTTTTCTACTATCATTCCCCCCTCCTACCACCACTTGGTGTCCGACGACGCTCCCCATTTTTTCCCTCATCAACATCATCAGCGCACAAACAGCGCCTGATACTGCCATCCCTTGCAGCGGCGCTCTGCCGCCTCCGATTTTTCCCTCCTTTTTTCAATTTTTTTTCATTCCCACAATCCCCCTTTTTGCTACTTTTTTTTCTTCTCCCTCACCGTTGCCTCCCCACTTTTCTATCTTTTATTTTCCTATCCCCCCTTCTCCGCCCCCCATTCACATCGTGTCCGCCACTGATATTGGTTGCTCGTTCAACCCCAGCAGCGTTGAAACTCTCTCTCTACGCTTGCTTGGGCTTCTCATTTATCTTTTTCCTTTCCTTTCTTTCCCTCATTTACATGTCTGCAAAACTGATTTCTTTCCTCCTTTTTTATCATTTATTTCGAAAGTTTCAAAAAATTTTTTTAATTAAATTAATTTATTTCCAGATTTCAAAAAGAAACTTTTTATTTCCAGTCTCTCATTTTTCCACACTATTTCTCATTTTTAATTTTCTCTGTTATCAGTCACAGGGGACACGCCCGAAACGGCGCGGGCCAAAACGGCGCGACCGAAACGGCGCGACCGAAACGACGCAGGCCGAAACGGCGCAAGGCCAAAACGGCGCACGGCCCAAAACGGCGCAAAAATTTCCCATAAGCTACATATTGTTACGTGAGGTTTAGCTCGATATCTTTTGGTGATGTGGACAAAAAATAGCAGGTGTAAAGGTCCACAACATCTTGTGATAACAGAGTGATAACAAAAATTAAGAGTGATAACAAAACTATTTAGATCGTATACTTACTAGTAAGTATAACTGCGGGATTCAGATAGTTCCAATATAACTATATTACTAGTTAGTTTCCCCTATAACTACATATATTACTAGTTAGTTCCCCCTAGAACTATATAGTTATCCCCATATTACTGCTGTAACCATCTAGACTTTAGTTATTTTTATTCTGGTCGTTGATGTCGGAACAGCCTTCACCGTTGTTGTAACAATTTTTCTCAACGTCTGAACGATCTTTCACATTGTTGGAACAATTTTTCCGTAGTGCGCAAAACCTTATTGCAGATTTTAAATAATTCGAAGTCAGTGTACGCAATGGTGGATAATGATCGATCACTAAGGTCAGATCGATAACAAATAGGTTGATCATAGAGATCAATTAATCAATCTCACAGTTGATCACATGATGATAACACGATTAATCACTATCACTGTGGAGTTTAGGGTTTGCGCCGTTTTGGGCCGTGCGCCGTTTTGGCCTTGCGCCGTTTCGGCCTGCGTCGTTTCGGTCGCGCCGTTTCGGTCGCGCCGTTTTGGCCCGCGCCGTAATGGGCTGTACCCCAGTCACAGGTTTTATATAGTACATACAGCAAACAATAACCACACATTTGTTGCCTTCCGTCTACTTTCTTTTATCTTTTTAATCTTTTCCGCCTTTTTAGGTGATAAAATTTTTTTTCCATTTTGACACCCAACCTTGAAATTTCAAAAAAAAATTTTTTTTTGGAAATTAAAAATTTTATTTCCGTACCTAAATTTATTACCTTTTTTCTTTTTTTGGCTATATGTCATTTTTGGCTTGCCCTTTTATCTCTACCAAATCTTTAAACATTCTCTATCTTTTTTTTCTAGTCTGCTTTTCTTCTTTTTCTTCCTCAATATATCTCCTTCCCTCCCTCACACATATTTTTCATCAGTCCGGCAATATACCCATAAACTGGCGACTTTGCCTTGCGGATAATAAAAAAAAATTTTTTCTTTGTTGAAGAAAGTCATCATCATCTGCTGATGATGATGATGGTTATTTTTTTATGCTCTTCCCACATCTGTGCATTATCACTGTTTATAAGCCAATATTTGTAGCAATCGATGAAAATAGGGGGGAAAACTGACAGGCACCCACAAAAGCACTTTCTTCCCTCAAAAAACCCCGCTGTGATATTTTTCCCCTTACTTTTTTCTGATCTTAAAAATATCAAATTACTTCTATTTTCTAAGTATATTTATTTTTTTGCCCTTTCCATGGTGTTTTTAATTAGCAAGGGAAAAAAATTTTTTTTCGAAAAAAAATTTTTTTCGAAAATTTTTGGAAAAAAATTTTTCAAAAAAATTTTTTTGGTACTTTTCCGTTATACGACCGAAAACTGAGTACCCGCAGTTATCGGGTCATAACTTTGGCAATCCCGGAGAATAGGGGTTTCTTCGAATAAAAAGTTTAAAAATAAGAAAAAGGATTTTTCTAGGGTAAAAAAATCTGCTGATTACGAATCTGAGCTCGGATTTTGAAAAAGTCGAATCCCGGACCTGAATTCGGACATTCGACATTTTGGGAAAACTTTCACAGAGCGCAAATTGATCAAATAATAGCTCATTCGAAAGAGCTCGACGAGCTGAGTCGAATGACACCAAAATTACCGTGAATGAACAAGAACAGACAAAGTTACAACACAAAAAACATAGGTTTACGTTGTTTGATTTTGGTATCATAACTTCGCCAGATCTTTTTCAATCACGGTGATTTTGGTGTCATTCGACTCAGCTCGTCGAGCTCTTTTGAATGAGCTATTATTTGCATATTCGAATTTTTCACCCCAGAATCAGCTTGGTCCCCCCTATGGTTTTTCGATTTTGTAGGACCTATATTCGGGTCCGGGTACGACTTTTTCAAAATCCGAGCTCAGATTCGTAATCAGCACATTTTTTACCCTAGAAAAATCCTTTCTCTTATTTTTAAACTTTTTTTTCGAAGAAACCCCTATTCTCCGGGATTGCCATAACTTTTTAATTGACGATCAGACCTAATCCATCAAAAAGGAAAAAACATAGAGCTTATCGTAGGCTTTCGAATGATATAAAATTCACTTGTATTGGATCAAGCAACAAAAAGTTATAGCTGTTCAAAGTCGGCTGGTACTCAGCTTGCGGATGTCGGAAAAGTACCAAAAAAATTTCTTTTAATTTTTGCTAATTATTTAAAAAAAATTTATTTTTTTTTTTTAAATTTTTTTTTCAGTAGAGAAATGTTTTTAAACTTCAATTTTATTTAATTTAAAACCAAAAAGCAACAAACAACAAAAAATATGGTAAATCATCAACCAACAGAAATATCCTCTTCTTTACCCACAACTTCAAAAGAAAATTTAAATAATTCAAAACATGATTGTAAAAATTGTTGTCCACATTGTGAGCTTTTTTGTAGTGAAATGAGGCAATCAATGACTAGATTAGACAATAAATTGGATAGATTGTCTGAGCAGTTGGCACAAATCGTGGGTGTTGTTGTTGGGTTTCATTCAACTGATAATAGCAATGGGTATTTTTTTTTTAATTTGTTGTTTTATTTTTTGGGGGGTTAAATAAATCGATAATATAGAGAATGGAGCACGCCCGTAGCCAGGATTTTTTTGGGGTGGACCAAGGGGGAAAATTTTCCTGCCCCTCCACCTGGCTACGGACCTGGGATGAAGAGGTCTTTTTTTAAAAAGTTTTTTTAAGTCTTAAAAAGTCTTTTTAAAAAGTTTTTAAAAAGCCTTCAAAGTCTTTTTTTAATTTCCAGTCTGTCCAACATTTTGGAAGTAAACAATTTACAAAACGGAAATTCTTCTTGTTCATTTGCACCTTCACAACAACAAAAAGTTTCATCAACAAAAGAATCAAATCAACAACAAACAGAAAATTGTAATTCTTTGAGTCAAGCAATAATTAATTCAAGTAGTCGTTCAACATCTCCACAATCAATAATTGATGAAAGAGAGGAGGGAGGGGGAAGTGGAGGAGGAAATGGAGGAAATTTAAAAATAAATGGAAATTTAAATATTGGAAGTCGAAAACGAAAAAGAGATGTTAGTCGGAAACAATCAACAACAACAATTAAAAAAGGAATGGCAACAATGCAATTACCAGCAGAATTAATTGGAATATTGCCGCAACAACCTTCAGCTACTGAAGAGCAAATTAATGTATTTTTTAAATTTTTTGGGGTTAAAAATTTTATTTTTCGACATATAATTCCAAAAAATATAGAAAAATATTTTAAATTAATTTTTATTAAGTAAATTTAACTTGTACCACCACCGGGGTTCGAACCCTCGTCTAAATCCTTTATTTTTCTGTTTGTAACCCACTACACCACAAATTCAAAAATTTTTGTTCTTCATGTTTTTGCTTTTTTGGGTCTAAAAATGTTAAAAATAATTTAAAAAAATTTTAGAAAAATTTTAAAAATTGTTTTCTAAAAAAAAGTGGACGAGGGGTGCCTCATTGCCCAAAAAAAATTTTTTTTAATTTTCTCCCCCTTAAAAAAATTTTTTCCTTCAGTCATTCCAATTTTCTTCCTCTTCTGATCATCTTCAAAACATTTCATCAACAGATTTACTTAATTCAAAAAGTACAACAGACGAATTATTAGCCCATTTACTTTCTATGAGTACTACAACCACAAACATTCCTCAAAGCAATCCTTCATCTCCAAGTATAACAACAACAACAATTCCTACCCAACCTCCTCCTCATCCCCTTCAACCACCAACATCTTTATATCAAATACTTTTTCAAACAAAAGAAGAAAATTTTGAAGAGAATCAAATAAATAATTTTGAAAATTTGGAGGAAGAGAATAATGCTGTTGAAGGTTCTCCTCAACAACAGACTGAAGAAAATTGTTCTTTAGAAAATCCCCAAACTTCAAATTTGTTGGCTGGACTTTTTGGAAATGGAGGAAATATTGAAGATTTTGGAGGACTTGTGGTAAAAAGTGAAATAACTGATAATGAAAATAGTGAATATACTAATAATATTTTGGCTGATGCAAGTAGTGGATCTCCACAGATTGAAAATCAGGTTTTTATTTTTTTGAATACCATCGAATTAGGGTTTTAAATTTTTCAAGTTTTAAATGTTTTCGGATAACTGGAACAGAAAAGAGTCTTCTTGATATTCGGATTACCTGTTATTGGGTCTTAATGTCCAAAGGCTTCCCAGGGACTGACAGCCCTAAATTAAACCTTATTTTTGGATATCCCTTTATATTTTAATTGAAATATACTGAGGGGTAATTTGAATATCAGACATCGTTTCTTCCGTCCATTGGACAACCAAATTTAAAAGAAACATCTTAAATTGGGGGTTACATAATTTTGGGTTTTCTAAAATTCAGAGCTTTTATTTTATTTATTCCTTAATTTTTAAATTAATTTTTTAGCTTGAAAATGGTGCCAATTCAACGTCAACAACAACATCAGTATCTCGTTGTAATAATTGTTTTACAACAAAAACAACAGCTTGGCGTCGTGATGCTACTGGAAGTTTAGTTTGTAATGCATGTGGACTTTATTTTAGATTACACAGAGTATCTTTTTAATTTAATTTTAATTCCTGATTTTAGGGGGTTACTCCGTCCCTGAAACTTGGAAAAAATGAAACTTTAATTTGTCAATCTTTCGGGAAGACATTTCTGCTCACAAGGGAACATTCCGAACTGTCAGTAAAAATTTCTAAATAAAAATTATACCATCGTGTAGAGCGTGGTCGAAAACGTATTATGGTTACTTTCTTTTTTGGCTCCGACCCCCATTTCGAAAAGTTATAGGGGTTCAAAGTTTCCTACTTTTGGAACGGTTGAGTCGCCCTCACTTTTCTTATTATTTCTCTTCCTAAAGGGAAAAATGAGACTCCTTTTCTCTTTTATTTCTTTCCTCTTCTTTTCCTGTGCTGGTTAAAGAAAGAGAAAAAGAGGAGAGAAAAGGAAAGGAAAAGAGGCATCTCTGCCCTCTCCTCTTTCCTTTTTAATTGACATTAAATGCAAGGCAGAGACGCCTCTTTTCCTTTTCTTTTCTCTCCCCCTTTTCTCTTTCTCTAACTAATGTTGGAAAAGAAAAGGAAAGGAAAAAAGGAGGATGGGAGTCTTATTTTTCTCTTATGGAGGAGAAAAATTTTCTTTAATAAAAGACTCAACCGTTCCAAAAGTAGGAAACTTTGAACCCCTATAACTTTTCGAAATGGGGGTCGGAGCCAAAAAAGAAAGTTACCATAGTACGTTTTCGACCACGCTCTACACGATGGTATAATTTTTATTTAGAAATTTTTACTGACAGTTCGGAATGTTCCCTTGTCAGTGCCCTTTCGGAGAATTTTTCTCGATCTTTCCTTGGATAACCTTACTTTTTGACAAAATTTTTTTAAATAAATTTTTAACGAGATTCCCTTTAAGAAATATTTTTGAGTTTAAAATTTTCCTCCAAAAGATTTAATTTGTTTCAAAATTTTTAGACAAATCGTCCAGTTCATATGCGTAAGGATTTTATTCAACAACGTTTTCGAAGAAAGAATCAACAACAACAACAAAATAATCCAAGTTTTGTAATAAAAAATGAAATAAAACAACAAAATCAGCAACAATTAATTAATTTGGCCGTAAATGGTTCTGCTGCAGCTGCTTTAGTTTTGGCTGCTTTGGAAGGTGGAGGAGGAGGAGGAAATAATAATGGAAGAAAGAAAAGTTTGGAAAAAGGTGGGGGAGAAGAAATAATTCGTGAACAACAACACCAATCTGTTTTGGATGCAAAAATGACTGCTGAAGCTTTTTTAAATTCTACACACATTTTAAATGGAATTTTGGAACAACAAAGTCAATGAAAGTCTTTTGACCTTTTTTTGTGTGGAATGTTTTTTAAGGTTTGGATTTTGAATTTTAAAAAGTATTTGGTCATGTTGGGCAATTTTAAATTAAGTTTTTAATTTTCCAGAGGGTTTTAGGGAATATTTTTTCCTTGTAAGGTTGATTTTAAGGCACTTGTTTAAAAAGATAATTTTTTCGGATTTTTCTCCCTAACTGGAAAATTTTTCTTTATGTCTTCAAGGAAGATAGATGCTATTTTTCTTTTATAAATTCCGAAATCTGTTTTGTCAGAAAAGTTCTTCTTTATTTTTTTCTAAATTAGTAAAATATTTTTAAATTGCCGATATGACCAAATACTTTTAAATAAAAAAACATATTTTTTATGTTAACGACTTTTACCCTTTGTTAAAAAAGGAGCCTTTCTCTCTTCATTTCATTTATATTTTGATTAATTAAAATTTAGTTGAACCTCGCTTGTAATTACTTCCGTTTGGTTTAATTTTTGTATACTTTCTAGTATTTACCCACCTTAAATTATGGATGGGATCTGACAAAAAAATAAATTTGTAATGTAGGGAGGGCTTTTCGTGGTTCAGGACTCCAGAAACTTTTGAGTCCTTTTTTTCGAGCCAGAATTCGATGCCCGGTTCGTTTTGTCGAACCAAACCGAATCACCAACTCTATTTACTACCTTGGTGGCTCCCCATCCATTTGACAATCAAAAAGTGAGGTTTAGCTATATTTTTCTTTCTTATTATTCTCATTTTTATTTTGACATTTAAAAAACCCCTCTCTCAAATTTGGAGAAGCATTTAAACATTTTTACACGTTCTTTTATTTTTTATTATTTTTTTTGAGAGCTTTAAAATTAATAATTATATTTTTTTAATATTTATTTTTGGGCATAATCTTATCTCTAAAAAAGCATTTTTGTGTGTCTTTTAAAAATATTTTTGCCAAAAATTAAAAATTTTTGTTCACTCATAATTTTCTCTCTCATAAAAATTATGGCATTCTAAAAAAAATTTTTTTTTGAACCAACAAACATAATAAAAATAATTCTCATTTGCGCATAATATATATTTTTGCATTTATTTTTTAAAATTATTTTCTTCATTAATATGTTGTATATCCACTCTTTTTTTAAAGAAATCACTTCATCTTTTTTTCAAGTTTATATGTTAAAATTAGAGACTGGACTGGAAGTGTCGAAGAGATATTTTTAAATTACAAAGGGTTCATTATGGGAGACTCAAATGTTTAAATTTTGACGTAGAAGGTCCCCAAAAATTTTGTTTTTTCATGCCACAAGCAAAAATAATTTTTGATTTCCTGACCCAACGTTGAGGGCAATATACCAAAATTTCTCTGTCCGGTCTCTAATTAGAATAACCATTTTTGGATATTAGAGTCTGAGGATTTTGAGATTTTTTTAACTTCACGCCAGGCTCTAATAGCCCTAAAATGAAATAAAATTTAAAATTTTTGAGATGGGTGATTAATACAAACAAACACCACTCAACTCTTTCCAGAACTAAACAAAAGATCATTAAACATTCCTTTCATTTCCCAGTCTCTCTCTAAACCAATCTCTCCCATGAACATTTTGTTTTTGCGTTTTATATATCGCTGCTGACGTGCATTTATAATATATTCGGCAACCACACATTGCCACACAACTTTTTTTATACAATGACTTAATTTATTGAATAAATATTAACGTTTTTGAATTTTGTTTTAAATTTTTTATGTGGAGTTTTTAAGAATTTCCGGGCTTTATTTTCTCTTGTTGACCATTTATTACAAATTGAGGAATTTTGCTTGAGGGACGAATTGAGATGGTACTGTGGGACGATTAGGGGATTTTGTTCTTTGGGACAAAATAGGGTTTTTGTTCTGTGTGACAAAGTAGGGCTTTTGTTCTGTGGGACGAAACGGAGGTTTTGTTCTGTCGGGCGAATTAGGGTTTTTCTTCTGTGGGGCGAATTAGGGATTTTTGTTCTGTGGGATGAATTAGGGATTTTGTTCTGTTGGACAAAGTAGGGTTATTGTTCCTTGTGACGAATTGGCAATTCTGTTCGGTAGAGCGAGCTCATTTTTAAAATTTAACTTAAATTTTAAATTTCCGCAAATTTTGGCATAACGTATAAATTAAAATAAATGACAATTCGTCCAACAAACTTAATTGGGCAACGCCACTTAATTTAGTACAAAATCAACAAAAATTCAATGGATCGCGATGCCTTCTTAAGTAATTTTTCAAAAATCGATAAAAATCAATTTGAAAGAAAATCAACAATTGCTACAGACATTTTATTAAATTTGCAACGAAATAAAAAAACATTGCACCTCAAAGGATTATCCAATTTAATTAAATTTTCGTAGAATTTCAAATAATAAAAATACAAATGCTAAATAAAGTCAAGATATAATTAAAATGTGATTGGCACTAATTTTTTTAAGGTTATTTTTAAATAGGCAACAAATAAAAGGGGAGAGGGAAGGGGGAAACACTCGTAAAAAATATTAAAATTTAACGTCCAAAAATGCGTGGAACAAGCAAAAGTCCTATAGCCAATCCTGTCAAAAAAGCTGAAAAAAGTCGAAGAGCAGAGGCGGCAGAGGCTTTGTTGTCCATTAATTTTGTTGTTGATGTTGGAGAAGGGCAAAATGGTGAAGTTTCTCTGTTACAACAAACTTTTTTTACTTTTGGGGCATTCGCGATTTCTCTGCCTTTTTCGCTTCTTTCTTGTGAATCTTCTCCCATTTGGCTGCCATCTTTGAAGCATGGGCTTCCGCTATTTGAACGTCGTCCTTTTCCGCGTTGTTTGTGGAGGCTGCTGCTTCGGCTTGTTCTTGTTCCAATTCTTTCTGGGCTCTCGCTCTCTCCTCTTAAAAAATAAGACAAAAATTCTTCCAATAAAATCCCAAAAAAACCTTTGAGTTGCTTGAATTCTTCCTCCATTTGTTTCCTCTTCTCTTCGCTCTTCTCGCTCGATTCCATTTGATTCGTCTTCTCGAATTGTTCTCTCAAATTCCTCGCTTCCAACCTCAAGGCTTCCAATTCCTCCAAATTCTTCTCCCTCTCCTTTGGTTCCATCGTAGCTATATTCTTGAACTTTGCCATCAGATTCTTCACATCGAACTCCTCTTCCGTCTCGGAATCGTCGTCGACGACGCGTCTTAAATTTCTTCAATGATAGACAAAAATCCCCCCCCCCTCTCCCCCAAAAAAACCTGTTGACAACTTCTGCGGGTCCTTCCACTTTCTTGTCCCATTTGGAGGGCGTCTTCTGTTGAGTTGCTCCAGTACCAGGCTGCGGAATCCCAGCTTGTCCCTGTGCCTCGATTTGTTTGAATTTCTCCCTCGCTTTGCCCGCCAATTTGATTTGCACGTCCAGCTCCTTCTCTGTTGAATGGGATGAGAAAGGAAGGGTTTATAGAAAAATTTTCTTTCCCTTTATTTCAAAACCCCAACCCTCCGAAAAAAAATTTTAAATTAAAAATTAAATTTAAAATATACCTCCTTCTTCGTGTTCCTCATCCCCTCCTCCACCACTTCCTTCTGCTTCCTCTTTAGCCTTCTTTGCTTGCAGTTTTCTGGCTAATTTATAACGGGCAAATTCAGCCTCAATTTCAACCTTTAAAGAGCAAATTTTATTTAAAAATTATTTTTAAAAATTAAAAAAAACCTTTTTCTTTGCTGCTCGCTCCTCAGGACTCATCTCGCTTTCAGGCTAAAATTTTTTTTAAAATTAAAAACATGACATTAAATTTAAAACCCCAAACCTTTTCAAATGTCTTCTTCAATTCTTTCAATTGAAGATCCAATTCAATTTTTGCTTTCTCAATTTCTTCAACATCCCCCTTTCCTTTTTCAAATTTATCTTTGAATGCATTCATTTCAGTAAATTTCAATTCGCTAAGTTCTCCAGCAGCAGAAGATTCTGTTTTTGGGCTAGTAAATGCAGAACCTTCGATAAAAGACTTGCGAGCATCACTGATTGCTAAAAAATAAAGTTTTTATTAAATAGAGTTAAAGCAAAAACTAAAATCACTCAAGGGGGTTCGAACCCACATCCTCCCCCCCCCCCAAACCCAACACACTACAACTAAACCACGGAGAGATTAACACATCGAATTATTTTTTCCCATTAATATCAATAAAAACCTGAAGTATCCAACTCCGAACGATCATAACATTTTTGTACATCTCCACCAGACGGAGGTTGAAATCGTTCTTTAACATTCACACCCTTCTTTAACGCTTCCAATTCTTCTTGTTTTGCAGCATCTTCAGCTAAATTAGCTCCTTCAACATCACCCGTTTTCCATTTTTGTTTTACCTCACTAACCTTAAAAAAGGCAGATTTTAGAAAATTAAAAAAATTTTTCTTTGCCTGAGGCAAGAATAAATTAAAAAATAAATTTTTAATTAACCCCTAAAAAATTATCAAAGAAAACTCCCAACCGATCCTTTAATTTCTTCCAATTGTCGACGCTTCTCTTCTTCATCTACAGCACTTGTTTGAGCACCTGCTGTTGCTGAACTTTGCCAACTTTCTTTTTTGTCTTTTAAAGAAGACTTTAATTGTGCCAATTCATCTCCAATGTTTGTACCACCAGCTGAAAAAACAAAAAAAAAAATTTTTTTAATTAAAAAATTATTTTTCTCATACTTAAAATTAAGGAAGTCTCAAAGCTAGTAGCCATCAATTTGAAATTTTATAGGGAAAAATCGAAAAAAATTTATTTATTGTTGCAAAAACCTTTAAGAATAAATTTATATTTTGTTTTTAAATTTGTTTAAATAATGTAGGAAAAATAAAAAGAGAATTGTGTGCCACAAATAAACAAAGGTCAATGAAAAGCTCAAAAAAGAAGAGGAAACCTTCCTCTTTCCCCATTTAATTCTTTTTATGTATAAAAAAAAGTGAACAGATGTTAAAAATATATTAATTGTAGCAATGTTACAATTTAATAAAATTAGTTAAAAATAAAAAGGAATGAAAAATAG